CGCAATGACCCATGCAATTATTGTATTCAAAGACACATATGAAGTTTAAATATTGTTTAAATATCTACCTCTTTTATGGAATACATTGTAGCTAGGCTTAGATTCCTGCTTTTCATGAGCAAACCATCAGAGATCACTCATTTTGAGAGAGTTTCCGATTTCTTTTCTTTTCTGGTCGTCAAACAACAGTCGATGAAGGATTGATAGTATCTACTGAAATCTGTAAACTTTGCATATTACCTCAGCAAATTGTTTTCTTCCCGCTTGTTATCGATGACCTGGCACATTTTCGCACATGCATACTCATCTAATGCACTGTAGGAACGTGCCTATGGAACGACGACTAGATAAATTCACACAAATATATTATTCATTACCTAATTTTTGATCAGGATTATCGATGGCTTTTAATTCGGATTCAGAATGATGGTTTATTGGCCCGCGGTATTCCTCGGGTGGTTTGCTCCATTGTTCCATTTTTAAAGATTCCATATTGCGTTGGAGTCTTGTGTGAATTGTTTGTTTGTTTTACTACATCAATTGTGTTTTTATGATTGGTCCGTGTAAGACTTCAATTTTGCCCGTCGGACAATCTGATTGTTTCAGCGTTATATATAAGCGCCTGTGATTCCCTTCCCAAAGGCGATTCGTGTCCAATGGACTAAAGAAAATATATCGAGAGAATTTCCTAAAAAATGAATTTTTACACATCATGTTTTTAAATGCTCAGTCATAAATGAAGAATGTGTTTTGAATAGCCCCAATCGTGTGGTGTGTTCGCTTGCTTCTGTTATCCGTTTCATGAGTCGAGGAATCCCAAAATGGTCCATTGGAATGATAACTCACAACAAATATATAATATATGCGTATTGTATTTTGTTGCTCCATTGGAGATATAAAAGTTTTTCAAATTTTTGGTACAATGTTTGAGATCTGGAAAGAAAAAAAACGGAAAAAGGTACTTTCAGTTAACCACATCCGTCATGTTTTTTGAATACTTACAAATAAATGTATATGGGACGAAACGATCAAATAAACCGAGTGTTTTGTTAATAATTGCAACCTACCATAGCTCGCCGTTGACGAGAGGTGCCAGTAGTCCTAGGATTAACAGCCACGATGGATTGAAATGGGAAACACCGTCTGAAATAGAATACAACAAGAGTAAATTGATCAATTAGTCTTCAGGCTTGCTGCTTCATCAAACTATGGAAAACACGCCATTCAGACATTTCATTTGATTGGTTTACACGAATATCTGGTGGCTGTTGCTTACTCACCCAACATGTAATATACAATCACGTCGTCAGATCCAGTGATGTTTGGCGTTTCTCTGGCGTGCCTTTTTAGCTGACTAATAGCAGGAACAGCCGCGGCGACCTTTGGTGACATGTCCACCGATTCCCCGCTATGATTTTCCGATTCACCGCTTTCTTTCTTTTCCGCACTCTGGGATCCCGTTGGTTTCATTGATGGTCTTTCATCTTTGTGAGTACCTTCTGGTTCCCCCCCAGCATCTGATGTTGGTGGATTTGGAGCTTGCGAAGTTGTAGGTGTTACTGTAGTTGTAGCAGCGGCTGTACTGGTTCTGACGGTGTCCGCACTCACATCGATCGCCGAGGTGGATGTGAAAGCAGTCGAAGTACCTTTTGGACACAGAGTNTTGACTCCCTCCTTTTCCTCCCTCACCACCTGATCCTGATGGATCTGAAGCTTTTGTAGTTGTAGGTGTTACTGTCGTTGTAGCAGCGCTAGTGCTGGTCGTGACGGTGTCCGCACTCACATCAATCGCCGAGGTGGATGTGAAAGCAGTCGAAGAACCTTTTGGACACAGAGTTTGGGATTGATCTCCACTAGTCACCTTCACACAATTAGTTCCACTCGTATCCTGGAAGTGAATCAACATGCATGCAATGAAGCAATCAATGCTCCGATCCTCAGTTAATCATTTCAATTGGAAAACGTTCCTGTTCACTTACGTTGACGTAGACCTTCACCGGTTTATCTGAATCCGATTTGACACGGTACTGGCAGCCACTGCCACTGCCTTTTACAACGAGGCTCTTTGCATCCGCAGACGCCGTAACCTCTTCACAATTCTCAGCTGATGATCGGAGGCATATTGAAAGGAAACTGGGTTACTTACCGACGATATCGCTGATACAGAAAGTAATAAGCAACAATTTTATGATACTTGATTTCATTTCATCAGACTTTCAATGAGCCGGGATCCACTGACTTTTATATGGTGTTTTGCATTCCTTCTTGAAAAGATGTTGATGAACAGTTGCTATCTTTATTATGATTCACGTGATTNCCACTGCTTTTTACAACAAAGCTCTTTGCATCCGCAGAGGCCGTAACCTCTTCACAATTCTCAGCTGATGATCGAAAGCATATTGTAGGGAAACTGGGTTACTTACCGACGATATCGCTGATACAGAAAGTAATAAGCAGCAATTTTATGATACTTGATTTCATTTCTTCAGACTTTCAGTGAGCCGGGATCCACTGACTTTTATATGGTGTTTTGCATTCCTTCTTGAAAAGATGTCGATGAACAGTTGCTATCTTTATTATGATTCACGTGATTGTGAGACTACTTCAACTGGGATATATCACAAGTGTTGGTTGAATATGTGATGCTTGACATGGTGTGCCGACTGCTTATGCTCAGTGACTAAAATCAGCACACTCTGACGTCACGATCTATGGAGCATTTGTTTAAATCGGCATGGTGTTTTTTGTGTTTATAGTATCGATACACAAGCATGAATGAGAATTTATGTCTTCAGACAGTTTACTCGTCAAGTTGAAAAATTCTTTTCTCAAGACACGGTTGCAAATAACTTATTTATTCAAAAAGCAATGATGATCAATGATGATCCAATGATTTAGTTTGATTGTTTGTGGTCACTCACCTGTACTGTAAACGAATTACAAATTCGTTTCAATTTAGGTGGCTAGCTCTTATCATGTCATAACTTTCTAAATCAAAAATGATATGACATTTGTAGGTTTTCACGAAGAAACCATTGAAACGAAACGGTTTTCTATGTAACCAGAGCGGTTTGAGCTTGCTTGTAGCTCTTATAATAAATCTACGAATTGGACTCAGTTGTTGCCTTGCGCTAGGCCGTGAGATCATCAAAACATCGTCTTTCAAATAGTACTCCTACTGTTAAAGTTCTAGAAGGCAGTGATGATCGAGCATAACTTATCATGAAGGAATTCAGATAGACACGACCAATTTGGCATACATCACAATAAAATCAAATGAAAAACATACCATCGCAGTTCCTGGCCATGCGACGCTTACTGAATGCATACATCGATAGTTGTTGTTTGAGACCCAGTAATTGCCCCAGTGATCTTGTTCACCTTTGGTCGCTGGAAGTAATCAACAACTCTTGTACCTCACAACACTCCTCCCCCACGAAAGTGAACTGTGCATGCAGCGGACAATGAGTTTTTCTTCTGAGATTTCAAACCGGTCCGTTTCTCGTTGTTTCATGATTGATTTTGGGGAACCCAAGCAGAGGGTTTATTTCTGACCAATCTGTGGTTTACGACTTTGGTCCCAGCGTCGTCTATTGAGGTCACCTTGATAAACACTCGTTTCGGCAATTATCTCCTAAAACTTATGGTTTGGATTCTTCGACATGATGATTGTAGTCAGCTACCTGCACGTTCATAATTGCATTTGATTTCCGTTTCCACGGCATTAATAACTTCTTCACCCTTTTTTGCAGTCGAGCAAAAAATTGTTTGACTATCCTGTTCTCGATAGAGAAAGTTTGATTTGCTGTGCTGTCAACTTCCGACTCACATTCG